TCATTGTTGGTGTATAGGAATGCAACCGATTTCTGTGCATTGGTTTTATATCCTGCAGCTTTGCTGAATTCATTAATCAGTTCTAGCAGTTTTTTGGTGGAATCTTTTGGGTTTTCCATTAGAGTATCATGTCATCGGCAAAGAGTGAAAGTTTGACCTCCTCCTGGACAATTTGGATGCCTTTTATTTCTTTGTGTTGTCTGATTGCAGAGGCAAAGACTTCCAATACTATGTTGAATAACAGTGGTGAGAGTGGACATCCTTGTCTCATTCCTGACCTTAGGGGGAAAGCTCTCAGCTTTTCCGTTTTGAGGATGATATTAGCGTTGGGTCATCCATATATGGCTTTTATGATCTCGATGTATGACCCTTCTATCCCTACTTTCTTGAGGGTTTTTATCAAGAAAGGATGCTGTATTTTGTTAAATTCTTTCTCTGCATCTATTGAGAGGATCATATGGTTCTTGTCCTTTCTTTTATTGATGTGGTGAGTCACGTTAATTGTTTTGTGGATACTGAGCCAGCCCTGCATCCCAGGTATAAATCCCACTTGGTTGTGGCGAATAATTTTTTTAATGTATTGTTGGAGCCAGCTGGCTAATATCTTGTTGGGGATTTTTGCATCCATGTTCATCAGGGAAATTGGTCTTTAGTACTCCTTTGTAGTGGGGTCTCTGTCTGGTTTTGGAATCCAGGTAATGCTGGCCTCATAGAAAGAGTTTAGAAGTTTTCCTTCCATTCCTATTTTTTGGAACAGCTTCAAGAGAATAGGTGTTAACTCTTCCTTAAATGTTTGGTAGAATTCCTGTGGAAAGCCATCTGGCCCTGGACTCTTGTTTTTTGGGAGATTTTTGATTACTGATTCAATTTCCTTACTGGTTCTGGGTCTGTTCAAATTTTCTATTTCTTCCTGTTTCAGTTTTGGTAGTGTATATGTTTCTAGGAATTTGTCCATTTCTTCCAGATTGCCCCTTTTATTGGCATATAATTGCTCATAATATTCTCTTCTTGTTTTTATTTCTGCTGTGTTGGTTGTCATCTCTCCGCTTTCATTCTTGATTTTATTTATTTGGGTCCTTTCCCTTTTCTTTTTGAGCAAACTGGCTAGTGGTTTACCAATTTTGTTAATTCTTTCAAAGAACCAGCTTCTGGTTTCATTGATCTGTTTTACTGTTTTTTTGGTTTCGATAGCATTAATTTCTGCTCTAATCTTGATCATTTCCTGTCTTCTGCTGGTTTGGGGTTTTATTTGCTGTTCTTTTTCCAGCTCTTTAAGGCGTAAGGTTAGTTTGTGTATCTGAGGCCATTCTTCCTTCTTTAGGAAGGCCTGGATTGCTATATACTTTCCTCTTATGACCGCCTTTGCTGCGTCCCAGAGGTTTTGGGTTGTGGTGTTATCATTTTCATTGACTTCCATATACTTTTTAATTTCCTCTTTAACTGCTTGGTTAGCCCATTCATTCTTTAGTAGGATGTTCTTCAGTCTCCAAGTATTTGTTACCTTCCTTTCCAAATTTTTTCTTGTGGTTGATTTCGAGTTTCATAGCACTGTGGTCTGAAAATAGTTTATTTATTTATTGTGAGAGGGGGCAGAGAGACAGAGAGAGGAGAAAATCCCAAGCAGGCTCCACACTGTCAGCACAGAGCCTGACATGGGGCTTGATTTCATGAACCATGAGATCATGACCTGAGCCAAAATCAAGAGTCAGATGCTCAACTGACTGAGCTACCCAGGCACCCCTAGATGTCATTAATGCCACACAAAATGGAGGATGCCTCCTTGGGCTACCAGAACTGGGAGAATGCAGGCTTGGGCTGAGGCCTCACAGGCCACTCAGAATGATGTCTGCCAATGTTTGGCTTATGCTAACCATACTCATAGGAGATTGATGTACCCCCTTCTCCAAGAAGGAGGTGTATTCACAGCACCGAGACCCTAATCTGGAGTCAGGAAAGTTCTGAATGTGTCAATGTGCTAAAGATGGTAAAGTATTAGTCCTTCAGCTGCTTAGGAACTGTGAGCCCTGAACCAGAATGTCCTAAAACAATCTCTTACTTCAGGGCTGAGGTTCCTCTCTGGTGGCAGGACTCCCCCGAACCTCTCTATCCAGGGTCTCTCCTTTTTGGACAGTAACCTGGTTTTCTCTCTGAACCCCAGGTTTTCTCTGCTGCATGATTCTTGAGGTGGGTTCATGCCCCTGAATTAGCTGTAGTCTCTCTGTGCTACTCTGCCTATCCCAAGAGACATTCCCTGCAGATTCATCAGATCTTACAATTCCAAGGCCTTGCTATTGTATTTGCCTTAAATTTTGGTTTAGGAGAGACTCAGTTTCTATATCCTTTGGGACATATGAATCTATCAGGAAAATAGACACACAAGTCAAGAGCTTAGGAGATCTTGTTGGACTGGATTCAGACTTGATAAAAGAAGTAGATGAGCTCATTGAGGTACGTAAAGCAGAAGGCTTAGAAGTTAACCTCAGGGAACACATCAAAATTTTAGGGCAGATGGAGCAGAGTACCAAGATCTAGAAAGAAACACATATTTTTTGAAAATAAGAACATAATCCTGCCAGCATGCAATACTGTTCAACAGATTGGAATATTTGTTTCAGAAGGCTTTGTGCTATAAGTATTGATACCTGTAAGAGCTTCCCCAGGAATTAAGCCCCAGAAGGACTTTGGAGTAGATTCTGAGATCTCTGACTACCTACTCTGACCACATCCATCTCAGAGAGTTCTTTGAGGGTATCTCTTGGATTCTGCCTCTGCAAGCTGGGGAGCCACATTTACCTGGACATCCCCTAGCCAGTGTGAGATGTGTGACTGCAGAAATGAGAGCTCAAGGGTAGTGGAGGAGATGGTGCTTTGGGATCATACCCAACTTTGTGTGGAGAACAAAGTTTAGGCTAGATGAGGACAGTGGCCAAGTCTGCCTCATCTCCACTTTTCTACTACAATGTTTGGCTCTGTCGGGTACTCAATACATATTTGTTGAATATACGTATGGATAAATAGATAAATGAATGGGTGCGTGAATTAGTGGATGAATGGATGGGAGGATGGATGGATGGATGGATGGATAGTGGGTGGATGGAGGGTAGGGTGAGGTTTCAGTCAATATTGGTTTTCCAATATCATTAGGTTTGCTGCCCTCCCCCTTTCCCACGGCCCAAGCCAGCAGGACTCCTCTGAAAAAATATGGAGGTCCTTTACCTAATCTTTCAAACTTCAGGGATAATAATATAGATTTCTCTTTCAACCCTGAGGTTTATGTTTACTTAAAAAAAATATTGTACATGTGGACTCAAACCTTACCAGAAAATAAGATCGAGGGATTGATATATGTGGATTTATAAAACTTCTAATATATTTAAGTAACCTTTACAAAAACACAATAGAGTATCACTCAAAACAACAACTACTACTACCATCTTAATGGCATTTAAAATATTTTTTTATTTAAAAAAGTTTTTTTAATGTTTATTTATTTAAAAAAAATTTTTAATATTTATTCATCTTTGAGAGACAGAGAGAGACAGAGCATGAGCAGGGAAGGGGCAGAGAGAGGGAGACACAGAATCCAAAGCAGGCTCCAGGCTCTGAGCTGTCAGCACAGAGCCCAATGCGGGGCTTGAACTCACAAACTGCGAGATCATGACCTGAACCAACGTCAGATGCTCAACCGACTGAGCCAACCAGGCGCCCCAATGTTTATTTATTTTTTAGAGAGAGAGAGAAAGAGCGAGTTGGGAGGAGCAAAGAGAGAGAGACACACAGAATCTGAAGCAGGCTCCAGCTCTGAGCTGTCAGCACAGAGCCTGACACGGGGCTTGAACTCATGAACCGCAAGATCATGACCTGAGCTAAAGTTGGATGCTTAACTGACTGAGCCCCCCAGGCGCCCCTAAAGCATTTTAGATTGGCAATAATGTGCCATATATAATCAATTCACAAAAAATATTTTCAGGATCTTCCTTCTCTAAAATTTCAAAAAAATAAAAAGTGGAGGTGGGAGGATTCCTATACATCCACTTGCCTTGCTGCAAATACTGTGCATCTAAAAGCACTATTTTTTATCTCCATGCAAATATTCAAAGCCTTTCTGACATTATGATATGGGTCCCTAAATCATAACTGGAGTGACTCACATTTGTTCTGCCTCCATTGTAATGGTTCCTGATTGTGAAAAAAGGACTCAGACGTCCAGCCACGTAGTTCAGCATTTTGATCTAGAGGGATGCAAAACTGAGGAGGAATTTCTGTACCTACCCCATCTACTTTACAAGGTTTCTAGAAGAATCCCCAAAGAAAAATAGATAAGAGGCCCTTTGTGACTCTCCAGGCTCTGTGTAGCTTCATGCAATTCGTGTTGTATGTATTAGAAGACAATCAACCTTCCACAGAGACTCTCACAGGTCAGATCATGTCACTCACCTGCTCAGAAGGCTCTGGCACCTCCACTCACATGGCACGTTTGAGCAAGCCCTGCCCACAACCTGCAGGGCTACCTGTGATCCAACCATCCCAACCATTAAGCTCAGCTCTTACAATAACCCTTCTACCAAGGGATTCGACTTGCCAAACTTGATCCCACCCCAGGACCTTGGGACTTGCCATTCCTTCTGCCTGGCATGCTCTTCCTCCTGATATTCCCACTTCTTCAGTTCTCTGATCAAATGCTTTCTCTGCACAGAGAACTTTCTTCACCAGCCCCATCTAAAATACCATCCATGGGGCTCCTGGCTGGTTCTGTTGGTGGAGCATGTGGCTCTTGATCTCGGGGTTGTGAGTTCAAGCCTCACATGCGGTATAGAGATTACTTTAAAAAAAAAAATGTTTAAAATACTATCCACCTCCTGTTCTAGTCCCTCACCCTGATTTTTTTCTCTTCATGGCAATAACTTATTAATTTATTTATTATGTGTCTCCTCAACTAGGAGGGAACATCGACAAAGGCAGAGAATTGTCTGTCTTTTTCACTGGTGTGTACGTGGCACTTAGAACATCGGTAGGTGTTTTTATTAGTTATCTGTTGCTGCATACACAAAGTTAGTGGCTTAAAACAACACACATCTATTACCTCAGAGTTTGTGTGAATCAAGAATCCAGGCATGGCTTAGCTGAGTCCTCTGCTTTGGGACTTCTCATGAGGCTGCAATTAAGGAGTTGGCTAGGAGTTGGATTCTTATCTGAAGATCTGATTGGGGAAGAATCTACCTCCAAGCTCATATGGTTGTTGGGAGGATTCAGTTCCTTTGGGTTGTTGGACTCAGAGTTTCAGTTCCTTTCTGGGTATTGTCTGGAGTCTGCCCTCAGTTGCTTGCCAGAGGGTCTATCCACAGCTTAGCTCACAATATGGCATCTTGCTTCATCAAAGTGATCAAGGGAAAGAGTCAGTTAGCAAAACAGAAGTTACGTGTTATGTAATATAATCACAGAAGCATCGTCTTGTCACCTTTGCCATATTGGTTAAAAGGAAGTCACAAGTCCTGCTCACGTTCAAGGTGAGGGGGTTATACAAGGGTATGAATACTAGGAGGTGGAGATCATTGGGGACTATTTTAGAGTCTATCTGCCACATTACTTGCTCAATAAACACTGAATATTTTTAATCCAATGTACAAATTTACACTGGGGAAGGAAAGCTGTAAGATTCAAGATTCTTGCAATTTATTTCTTGCACAATGTAGAACTTCTGTGAAATTTACTTATCCTTTTCCCAACTTCCCTCTGATGTTCTGTGACCAGCTGGTCTGCTTGCCTGCATGAGCTGCCCCAGGCTTTGAAGATTCACCCAAGAGAAGTGACCCACACACAACCCAGACCCTTCAAGAATCTATAATCTGAAACTCACCATTCACAGAGTTTATTCCTTATCCACGAGGATCCCTGGAATTGGTCAGTTGCATCCTTATACATTACAAGCTGGAAGTGGTGTCCTTGAATGGTTACTTTGCATTTATGAGGCCTTGCTGCGAGCCAAGTTAATAATGCATCTAATAAAAAGAAAGAAAGAAATATATTGTTCAGTAAGGTAGATATTATTAATATGATTCTGTTTTAAAAGGGCCATTACTTCAGAGTCTTGATGTCTGGCATGCTGTTAAAGAAGTTTTTTTTTAAGAATCGCCATGACAACAGAGAGAGCCCCACTTCCCCTGAGTCGATTACAGATTTGTCCATGTAGGGAATTGGAACACATCCAGCTTACTGGGAATCCTTTTCTGTCTCCTTTGGCAAAAGCCCTGGCTTATCATCCAGAGTGAGCAGGAGTCTCAAATCCATCAATATTCACTGATGAAGTCGTCGCCATTCATTAACAGAGACTTGATCAGCAGACGTTTATTGATTGCCAGGCACATGCAAGGCACTCTGGGGGATTCAGAGACATTGCTGTCTGAAGGATTGATGTGTCCACTGCGTGACAAGTTCCAGCCCCTCCAGGCATAAGGAGCCATGTGGGACTGAGCTCTGGGTGGGACAGACCCTGCTCAAGGACCTGGGACTTAAACGGTGAAGAACCGTGAAGTCACGATGTGCACATTGGACAGTTCTGACCTGTGAGGGGATTCTTGGTGTGCAGGGTTGGGCTGCATGGATGAGAGGCCTAAGACAGTGGGTGAAAACCTGCCCTGGGTCTTAATTTTATATAAACTCTAACTCCAAATTGCTGGGTCACCTTGGGCATGCCACAGGACCTCTCTAGCCATTACTTTCATCCCTTACATGAAATAGGATTACATTTCTTCTTGGTGAACCTGCAGCAATCACATTGTGATCTGTTGCTTGTTTGACCAGACAGGCCTTTGAACCTGCTCAGGCAGTGATGACCCACTGTTGTCTTAGAGGTGCTCAACACAGTGCTGGGCATGCCCTAACACTCAACAAATGAATGAATGAGAACTGAAGCCTTCCTGCAACCACTCCATTCTTTGCCAACCCCTCCACACTGCTATTATACTGGCCTCTCACTCTTCCAAAGGAAATCCAGGACAGTAGAAAGCACCCCAGTGATCCCAGGCCTGCTTCCCACCCCAACCTATGGCGCAACTCAACTTTTCTACTTTGGATAATTTTTCAACCCAGAAAGGGTCCAAAGGAATGGGATAAGGTGTTGAAGCCAGGTATGATGGATAGGGAGAAGGGGGCAGGGGAGGAAGGAACAAGTCAGAACTGTTTTGCTTCCTGTAAGATGTGTGAGAATATGTTGGATGCTCTGTGCAGTGAGGGAGCAGCTCCATACTCAATTGGCAAGATGAAGAAACAAAAAATGGAATGGTACAAATAAAAAGCAAATAGTAAAATGGTAGCATTAAACCCAACCAAATTATTAATCTCATTAAATTAAAATAGTTTAAACACTTCAAACAGAAGGCAGAATGTCAGATTGAATAAAAAAGGAACATACAACTTTATGATGCTTACCAAAAACCTACTTTAAATATAAAGACATCAATAGATTAAAGGAAAAAGGATAGGAAAGGATGTACCATACTAACCAAAAGAAAGCTGGAGTGGTTGTGTTAATATCAGATGAAGTCGATTTCAGATCAAAGAATATTTGAAGGGATAGAGAAAGTGTTTTCATAATAAAGGGACAATCTATCAAGTACCCATAACAATCCAAAACATGTATGCATCTAATAACAGCTTAAAAATACACGAAGTAAAAATTAATAGAAGTGAAAGGAGAAAGAAACAAGTATGTAATTATGGTAGATGCAACCTCTCATTCAATAAGTGATAGAACAGGCGTGCCTGGGTGGCTCAGTCGGTTAAGTGTCCAACTTCGGCTCAGGTCATGATCTCACGGTTTGTGGGTTTGAGCCCCACGTTGGGCTCTGTGCTGACAGCTCAGAGCCTGGACCCTGCTTCAGATTCTGTGTCTCCCTCTCTCTCTGCCCCTTCCTCACTCGGGTTCTATCTCTCTTTCTGTCTCTCAAAACTAAATAAACATTAAAAAAAATTTTTTTTAATAAGTGATAGAACAAATAGAAAATCAGTGAGGATTGGAAATCAGCTGACTTAATTCAGTCAATCAGCTTGACTTAATTCATATTTATAGGACACTCTACACAACAACAGCAGTAGGGACATTCTTTTCCAGAACATTATCAAGTTAAACTATATTATGGGCCATAAACAGGTCCCAATAAATTTCTTAAGAATCAAAGCCTACAAAGTAGGTTCTCTGACCACAATGGAGTAAAATTAGAATTCAATAACAGAAACATAGCTGGAAAATCCCCACATATTCAGAAATGAAACAGACTATTAAATAACCCATGGCTCAAAGAACAATCAGAAAGTATTTTGAACTGAATATAAATGAAAACAACACATCAGAATTTGTGAAACACAGTTAAAGCAATGATTAAAAGGAAATTTGTGCCACTAACAGCCTGTATTAGAATATAAGGAAAGTCTTAAATCAGAGACCTAAAGTTTTACCTTAAGTAATCAGGGGGAAAAGGAGCAAAGTAAATAAGAAAGTAAATAATAAGTATAAGAGTAGAAATGAATAAAACAGAAAACCAAGAGAAAACCAATGAAAGCAAAAGATCATTTTTGAAATGCTCAATAATATTGATAAACTCTAGCAGAGAGAAGAGACAGACAAAATACAGAAACAAACTACCAACAACAGGAATGAGAGAGGAGAAATCATTACAGATCCTACAGATATTAAAAAGATATGAAAGGAATACTGTGAACAGCTTTATGCTAATATTTTTGACAACTTAGATGAAATTGACAAATTACTTCAAAGACACAAACTACTGAATCTCACTGGAAAAGAATAGATATTTTGCACAGTCATATCTACTTATGAAATCAAATTCATGGTTAAAAAAAAATCCCATAAAGGAAACTCTAGATCTACATGCCTTTCATGGTGATATCTACCAAATATTTAAGGAAGGAATAACACCTGTTTTACACAAAGTTTTCCAGAAACCAAAATAGGAATGAACACTTCCCAACTCATTCTATGAAGCCAGCATTGGCCTGACATCAGAAACAGAAAATTATTTCACAAGAAAATTATTAATATCACTCATGAACATAGATGCAAACATTTAATTTTTTTTAATTTTTAAACATTTATTTATTTTTGAGAGAGAGAGAATGAGAGGGAAAGGGGCAGAGAGAGGGGGGGGGGACAGAGAATCTAAAACAGGCTCTGCACTGACAGCAGCAAGCCCAATGTGGGGCTCAAACTCACAAACTGTGAGATCATGACCTGAGCCAAAGTCGAATGCTCAACCGACTGAGCCACCTAGGTGCCCCAGATGCAAACATTTAAAACAAAATTTTAGCTAATTAAATCCAGCAATGTATTAAAAGGATAATGTATCGTGATCAAGTGGATATTATCCCAGGACCCCAAGGTTGGTTTAACATTTAAAAATAATGAGTATAGGGGCACCTGGGTGGCTCAGTTGGTTGAGCATCTGACTCTTGATTTTGGCTCAGGTCATGATTCTAGGGTTGTGGTATGGAGCCCCACATCAGTTTCCATGCTGAGTGTGGAGCCTACTTGAGATTCTCTCTCTCTCTCTCTCTCTCTCTCTCTCTCTGTCTCTCTCTCTCTCTCTCTTTCCCTGTCTCTCTTCCCCACTTTTCCTTTCTCTCTCTTTTAAAAAAAAAGTATAATTCACTATATTAACAGAGAAGAGAGAAAAAATTGTATGGTCATCTCAATAGATGGATAAAAAGAATCTGACAGAATCCAACATCCATTATTGGCAACAACTCTCAGCAAATTAGAAATAGAAGGGAACATCTTCACCCTGATAAAAAGGAAACTATGAAAAGCCCCTAGCTAACATCATACTTAATGGTGAAAGACCCCAAAACCCTTTAAAATCATAAATATTTCCACTCCTCTTGTTTAGCATTTTACTAGAAATTTAAACCAGTACAGTAAGAACAAGAGATTTAAAAAGCATAGAGTTGGAAAGGAAGAAGAAAAACTGTCTTTATTCATACATGACATAATCGTCTTCATAGAAAATCTTAAATGGATCTACCAAAAAGCTGTTAGAACTAATAAATGAGATTAGCAAGTTTGCAGGATATAAGAGCAATATATAAAAATCAATTGTATTTATATCAACTACCAATGAACATTTGGATATTTTTTAAACAACACCATTTATAACAGCATCAAAAATATGGAACCATTGGGGATAAATTTTTTTTAAATGTGTAACACCTGGGGGAGGCTGGGTGGCTCAGTTGATTAAGCATCCGACTCTTGATTTTGGCTCAGATCATGATCTCACAGTTCAAGTATTCGATTCCCACATCGGGCTGTCAGCACAGAGCCTGCTTGGGATTCTTTCTCTACCTCTCTCAAAATAAATACATAAACTTCAAAAAATGTGTAATACCTGTACAATGAAAACAATAAAACATTGTAAGAGAAAGTAAAGAAGACCGAAACAAATAGAAATATAGCGTGTACATATTTCAGAAGACTTAATCTTGTTAAGTTCTTTAACTTTCCCAAAGTGATCTATAGATTTGTTGCAATCCCAATCAAATTCCCAGCAAGTGTTTTGTAGAAATTCACAAGATGATTCTAAAATTTATGTGGAAATGTGAACGACCTAAAACAACACGATTCTGAAAAAGAACAAAATCAGAAGTTTGTGCTACCTGGTATTATGATTTATTATAAAGCCACTATAATGAAGACCATGTGGTATTGCCATAAAGATAGACATATAGATTAACGGAACAGAGTAGAGGGGTCACGAAGAGACAAGGACATATAAACCAATTGATTTGCAACAAAGGTGCCCAGGCAAATCAACAGGGAAAGGATGATGTCTACACATGATGACAAAACAATTGGAAATCATACGCAAAAACTTGGACCTCCACCCTGACCTCACACTCTATACAAAAATTAACTTGAAATGGATCATAGACCTAAATATAAGAGCCAAAACTTCTGGAGAAGTTATAAGAAAATCCTACTGCTGCT